CCCACCCCACACTCAACCCACCCCACCCCCACACTCCCCACCTCACCCACACCCTACCCACTCCCCACCCCCACCCCACCCCCCACCCCCACCCCACCGCCCAGATAACTAGCATAAATGAACCAGAAACAGGTTGTGTTTGCTCAGCCAGAATGTCCCTGGAAAAACGACCAAAATCTCTTAAGAAAATCGACTGGAAAATGCTGGAGAAAATCTTCATTGATTGGTGATGCTGTGGTGAGAATTACTGAAGGAATTAGATCAAGAATTAGCTGAGAATTGAGAATTTTTTGAGAATAATGGAGTTTTTTTTTTACTGAGAATTAGTGTTCTGGGATAATTTATCTGAGAATAATCGAGATAATTTGTTTTTTTACCAGAGAATTATCAGATTTTGGGGTAAGAATTTTTTATAATCTAATGAAGAATTATTGGAGATTTATCAGAGAATTTAAGTTATTTATGATTTAAATATATTTTTTTTGTAGAATTATTCAGCATTCATCCAAGACATAAACTGCAACACACACACACACACACACACTCATACACTCATACACACACACACACACACACACACACACACACACACACACACACACACACACACACACACACACACACACACACACACACACACACACACACACACAGGAGGCAGCATATCATTGAAGTGTCGTGTAGTGACACAAACGAAGAATAAAATCACAGAAGCAAAACACATCCTGAGTTTAATGTGTGTGTGTGTGTGTGTGTATGTGTGCGTGTGTGTGTGTGTGTGATAGAAAGAAGGCCTTGCTGTGTACACAATTTCATATACAATTAAGTAAGATAAATGTTTATGTTTCATGAACATTTTAATTAAACATCATATATTTATAGCATCATGTTTGCATATTACGGTAATTAAATTTAATGTTTCATCCCTTGTGTTAAAGCAGCTGACAACGTGGAGTGTTTTAACGCACTCTCCTCAGGTCAAACACAAGGGATACTGAGCAAGATTGACTTCACTTAATATATCAACAGTCATACATTGTCAAGAAGCACCAACATAGGTTCCTAGTCAAATGGGCCCTAATTGTAATAGTTCTCAGTCTTAATGGGCCCTAATTGTAATAGTTCTCAGTCTTAATGGGCCCTAATTGTGGTTCTCAGTCTTAATGGGCCCTAATTGCAATAGTTCTCAGTCTTAATGGGCCTAATTGTAATAGTTCTCAGTCCTAATGGGCTAATTGTAATAGTTCTCAGTCTTAATGGGCCCTAATTGTAATAGTTCTCAGTCTTAATGGGCCCTAATTGCAATAGTTCTCAGTCTTAATGGGCCCTAATTGTAATAGTTCTCAGTCCTAATGGGCCCTAATTGCAATAGTTCTCAGTCTTAATGGGCCCTAATTGCAATAGTTCTCAGTCTTAATGGGCCCCTTGTAATAGTTCTCAGTCCTAATGGGCCCTAATCATAACAGGCCCCGGGTCAAATAGGTTCCAGTTATGATACTGCAAAGTCAAAATGGGCGCCAGTCCTAATGAGCGCCAGTCCAAATGAACCCCAATCCAAATTACGATGTTATTTACTTAGACTTTAGCAAAGCATTTGACGAAGTACCGCATCAGAGGCTTCTGAGAAAAATTAAGGCTCATGGTATCGAGGGGAAAGTTTTAAATTGGATAAATCATGGCTCACCGATAGAACGCAAAGGGTCAGTGTAGATGGTGTTAAGTCTGGAGTGGGGCTGTAACCAGGTTCCAGGGTCAGTACTAGGCCACTCTTGTTCATAATCTATATAAACGATTTAGATACTGGGATCAGCAGGACATAAGCAAGTTTGCGGATGACACCAAAATAGGGCGGCAGATTAATTCAGGCAGGATGCAAATGCATTACAGGAGGATCTAAATAAACTGCAGGGTGGTCTGAAAATGGCAAATGAAGTTCAACACCAGCAAGTGCAGCGTTTAATATTGAAGAACAAATACTTATAATGTATACAGCCCAATAACATCAACCTAGAGAGTCGACTTGTGAAAGAGACCTAGGGTACTTATGCCCGGACCTACGGCCTAGAAAACAGTGCGTTAATGTTCGAAATAAAAACAGAGTATTGGTTTTATATCTAGAAGTGTAAGTAACAAGAGTGCAGTCTTATTGCAACTATATCTTGTGCTAGTTAGGCCGCACCTCGATTATGCGGTTCAGTTCTGGTGCCCTTATTATAGAATGGATATAAATTCACTAGAGTCGGTGCAGCGAAGAATGACAAAATGATTCCGACTTAGAAACCTCTATATCAGGATATGTTAAAGAACTTAACTTGCATTCTAGAAAGACGAAGAGTGGGGAGATATGATAGAAGTATTTAAAGGGTGAAAGAATCAATAAAGGGATATAGATAAAGTTCTTATAATATCCGAGAGGATGGGACTGGAGCAACGGATTCAGTTGATAAGTTTAGGTTTAGGAGGAGATAGGAAGAAACGTTCACAAATAGGGTGGTGGACGAGTGGAACAAGTTTAGCAACTTTGTAGTGTTGGAACTCTGGAAAGTTTCAAAAGGAGGCTAGATAGATTCATGGATAATAGAGAGTAGTAACTCTCACAGGATACAGGCCAACCGGCCTATTGCAGACTCCTTATTTTTTATGTTCTTAATGTTCAAATGAACCCCAATCCAAATGAACCCCAGTCCAAATGAACCCCAATCCAAATGAACCCCAGGTCTAGCGGGGTTAGGTTAGGTTAGGTTAGTTTAATTTAGGAATTATTAGGACTGCAGCTTAAAACGTTTGAGCCATTTGAATTTCAACAAATGAACAAAATAAAAATAATAATTGTTTTTTTTTATTCTTTTATTTACTCTTTTCTGGTACAGTATTTATTCATTTATTCTGCTTCATTAATTATACCAACTCCTTAAATAAATAAATTATTGTGTGTGTCTTATGTAATGATGATGATGATGATGATGATGATGATGATGATAGGGATGATGATGGTAGGGGATGATGATGATGATGATGATGATGATGATGATGATGATGATGATGATGAGGAGGAGGAGGAGGAGGAGGAACGATGCCTAATCACCTCCCTCCTCTCACCCACCCTCCTCCTTCTCTCACCCTCCTCCCCTGCTTTTCTCTCACCCTCCCTCTTCTCCTCTCACTCCTCCCTCCTCCTCTCTCTCACCCACCCTCTCTCCTCTTCCTCACCCTCCTCCCTGCTTCTCTCACCCTCCCTCCCTCCTTTCTCTCACCCTCCCTCCCTGCTTTTCTCACCCTCCCTCCTGCTTCTCTCCCTCCCTCCTCCTTCTCTCACCCACCTCCCTCCTTTTCTCTCACCCTCCCTCCTTTCCTCTCACCCACCTCCCTCCTTCTCTCACTTCCTCCTGCCCTCTTTCTCTCACTCCCTCCTCCTTCTCTCACCTCCTCCTTCTCACTCCACCTCCTCCTCTCTACACCTCCCTCCTCCTTTCTCTCACCTCCTCCCCTCCCTCCCACCCTCCTCCTCCTCCTCTCTCACCCCTCCCTCCCTCCTTCTCTACCCTCCCCCTCCTTCTCACTCCTCTCCTTCTCCCTCCTCCCTCCTTCCCCACCCTCTCCCTCCTCTTCTCTCTCACCCTCCCTCCCTCCTTCTCTCTCCACTCCCTCCCTCCCTCCTTTCTCACCCTCCCTCCCTGCTTTTCTCTCACTCCCCTCCTCCCTGCTTTTCTACCCTCCCTCCCTCCTCTCTCTCACCCTCCCTCCCTCCTTCTCCTCACCCTCCCTCCCTCTCCTTCTCTCACCTCCCTCCCTCCTTCTCCTCACTCTCCCCCCTCCTCCTTTCTCACTCCCTCCCTCCTCTTCTCACCCTCCTCCTTCTTCTCACCTCCTCCCTCCTTCTCTCACCTCCCTCCTCTCACCCTCCCTCCCTCCTTCTCTCACCTCCCTCCTCTCTCACTCCTCCCTCCTCTCCTCTCTCACCCCTCCCCTCCCTCCTCTTCTCTCTCCCTCCCTCCTCCTCTCACCCTCCCTCCTCCTTCTCTCACCCCCCCTCCCTCCTTTCCTTCCTCACCTCCCTCCCTCCCTCCATCTCCTCACCCCTCCCTCCCTCCTTCTTCACCCTCCCTCCCTCTTCTTCTCTCACCCTCCCTCCTCCTTCTTCCTCTCACCCTCCCTCCCTCCTCCTCCTCCTCCCCCTCCTTCTTCACCCTCCCTCCCTCCTTTCTCACCCTCCCTCCTCCTTCTCTCACCCTCCTCCCTCCTTCTTCCTCACCTCCTCCCTCCCTCCTTCCTCACCCTCCCTCCTTCTTTCCTCACCCCTCCCTCCCTGCTTCTCTCTCACCCTCCCTCCCTCCTTCCTCACCCTCCTCCCTCTCCTCCATCTCTCACCCCTCCCCCCTCCTTCTTCTCACCCTCCCTCCTTCTCTCACCTCCCTCCCTCCTTTCTCTCACCCTCCCTCCTCTTCTTCCTCACCCTCCTCCTCCATCTCTCACCCTCCCTCCCTCTTTCCTCTCACCCCTCCCTCCTTTCTCTCACCCTCCTCCCCTCCCTTGCCTTCTCCTCCTCCTTCCTTCTCTCTTCTCCTCCCTCCATCTTCCTCACCCTCCTCCCTCCTTCTCACCCCTCCTCCTTCTCTCACCCTCCCTCCTCTCACCCTCCTCCCTCCTTCTCTCACCCTCCCTCCTTCTTCCCTCCTCCCCCTCCCCCCTCCCCTCCTTCTCTCCACTCCCTCCCTCCTTCCTTCCCCTCCCTCCTTCTTCACCCTCCCTCCCTCCGTCCACATGACTGCCTCCTTTCCTTTCGTACCACCTCTTTTCTCTCCCCCACCTCTTGCCTTCCCTCAGACTCACCTCCCCCATCAGTCTCACCTCCCCATCAGTCCTCACCCCCCATCAGTCCTCACCTCCCCCCATCAGTCCTCACCTCCCCCCACTGTCCTCACCCCCCATCAGTCCCTCACCTCCCTCTTGATTACAGGAAGGGGAAGTGAGAGAGAGACAATACCTCACCCACATGACTTTTATGGAGCACATGTTATCTCTCTTTCTTGTTGTTGGGTTAAGAGGCATTCTCTCGTTGACGGTGGAGGTGATGAGCGTTGACGGTGGAGGTGATGAGCGTTGACGGTGGAGATGACGAGAGCTGACGGTGGAGGTGATGAGCGTTGACGGAGATGATGAGCGTTGACGGTGGAGATGACGAGAGCTGACGGTGGAGGTGATGAGCGTTGACGGTGGAGGTGACGAGCGTTGACGGTGGAGGTGATGAGCGTTGACGGTGGAGTATGATGAGCGTTGACGGTGGAGATGACGAGAGCTGACGGTGGAGGTGATGAGCGTTGACGGTGGAGGTGATGAGCGTTGACGGTGGAGATGACGAGCGTTGACGGTGGGTGATGGGCTGACGGTGGATGGATGAGCGTTGACGGTGGAGGATGAGCGTTGACGGAGGTGATGAGCGTTGACGGTGGAGGTGATGAGCGTTGACGGTGGAGATGACGAGCGTTGACGGTGGAGATGATGATGGAGGTGACGAGCGTTGACGGTGGAGGTGACGAGCGTTGACAGGAGGTGATGAGCGTTGACGGTGGAGGTGACGAGCGTTGACGGTGGAGATGACGAGCTGACGGTGGAGGTGATGAGCGTTGACGGTGGAGGATGAGCGTTGACGGTGGAGGTGATGAGCGTTGACGGTGGAGGTGATGAGCGTTGACGGTGGAGATGACGAGGCGACGGTGAGGTGATGAGCGTTGACGGTGGAGGTGATGAGCGTTGACGGTGGAGATGACGAGCGTTGACGGTGGAGGTGATGAGCGTTGACGGTGGAGGTGATGAGCGTTGACGGTGGAGGTGATGAGCGTTGACGGTGGAGGTGATGAGCGTTGACGGTGGAGGTGATGAGCGTTGACGGTGGAGATGATGAGCGTTGACGGTGGAGATGACAAGCGTTGACGGTGGAGGTGACGAGCGTTGACGGTGGAGGTGACGAGCGTTGACGGGGAGGTGATGAGCGTTGATGGTGAGGTACGAGCGTTGACGGTGAGATGACGAGGCTGACGGTGGAGGTGATGAGCGTTGACGGTGGAGGTGATGAGCGTTGACGGTGGAGGTGATGAGCGTTGACGGTGGAGGTGATGAGCGTTGACGGTGGAGATGACGAGCGTTGACGGTGGAGGTGATGAGCGTTGACGGTGGAGATGACGAGCGTTGACGGTGGAGGTGACGACGCTGACGGTGGAGGTGATGAGCGTTGACGGTGGAGATGACGAGCGCTGACGGTGGAGGTGATGAGTTGACGGTGGAGATGTCAGGAGTTGACGGTGGAGGTGATGAGCGTTGACGGTGGAGATGACGAGCGTTGACGGAGGTGATGAGCGTTGACGGTGGAGGTGATGAGCGTTGACGGTGGAGGTGACGAGCGTTGACGGTGGAGGGATGAGCGTTGACGGTGGAGGTGATGAGCGTTGACGGTGGAGGTGATGAGCGTTGATGGTGTAGGTGATGAGCGTTGACGGTGGAGATGACGAGCGTTGACGGTGGCGATGATGAGCGTTGACGGTGGAGGTGATGCGTTGACGGTGGAGGTGATGAGCGTTGACGGTGGAGGTGATGAGCGTTGACGGTGGGTGATGAGCGTTGACGGTGGAGGTGATGAGCGTTGACGGTGGAGATGACGAGCGTTGACGGTGGGAGGTGATGAGCGTTGACGGTGGAGGTGATGCGCGTTGACGGTGGAGGTGAGGAGCGTTGACGGTGGAGGTGACGAGCGTTGACGGAGGTGATGAGCGTTGACGGTGGAGGTGACGAGCGTTGACGGTGGAGGTGATGAGGTTGACGGTGGAGGTGATGAGGCGTTGACGGTGGAGGTGATGAGCGTTGACGGTGGAGGTGATGAGCGTTGACGGTGGAGGTGACGAGCGTTGACGGTGGAGGTGATGAGCGTTGACGGTGGAGGTGATGAGCGTTGACGGTGGAGGTGATGAGCTGACGGTGGAGGTGACGAGCGTTGACGGTGGAGGTGATGAGCGTTGACGGTGGAGGTGATGAGCGTTGACGGTGGAGGTGATGAGCGTTGACGGTGGAGGTGATGAGCGTTGACGGTGGAGGTGATGAGCGTTGACGGTGGAGGTGATGAGCGTTGACGGTGGAGATGACGAGCGTTGACGGTGGAGATGACGAGCGTTGACGGTGGAGGTGATGAGCGTTGACGGTGGAGGATGAGCGCGACGGTGGAGGATGAGCGTTGACGGTGGAGGTGATGAGCGTTGACGGTGGAGGTGACGAGCGTTGACGGTGGAGATACGAGCGCTGACGGTGGAGGTGACGAGGCTGACGGTGGAGATGACGAGAGCTGACGGTGGAGATGACGAGAGCTGACGGTGGAGGTGATGAGCGCTGACGGTGGAGATGACGAGCGCTGACGGTGAGGTGATGAGCGTTGACGGTGGAGATGACGAGCGCTGACGGTGGAGGTGACGAGCGCTGACGGTGGAGATGACGAGCGCTGACGGTGGAGGATGA